CCTAGCAATACATTTTTGAAGGAAAAAATATCCCCAGCAATACATTTTTGAAGGAAAAAATATCCCCAGCAATACATTTTGAAGGAAAAAAAATATCCCTAGCAATACATTTTTGAAGGAAAAAAAATATCCCAGCAATACATTTTTTGAAGGAAAAAAAATATCCCTAGCAATACATTTTTGAAGGAAAAAAATATCCCCAGCAATACATTTTTTGAAGGAAAAAATATCCCTAGCAATACATTTTTGAAGGAAAAAATATATCCCCAGCAATACATTTTTGAAGGAAAAAAATATCCCTAGCAATACATTTTGAAGGAAAAAATATCCCCAGCAATACATTTTTGAAGGAAAAAAATATCCCTAGCAATAAATTTTTGAAGGAAAAAAATATCCCCAGCAATACATTTTGAAGGAAAAAAATATCCCTAGCAATACATTTTTAAGGAAAAAAATATCCCCAGCAATACATTTTTGAAGGAAAAAATATCCCTAGCAATACATTTTTGAAGGAAAAAAATATCCCTAGCAATACATTTTGAAGGAAAAAAATATCCCCAGCAATACATTTTTGAAGGAAAAAAATATCCCTAGTAATACATTTTGAAGGAAAAAATATCCCTAGCAATACATTTTTGAAGGAAAAAATATCCCCAGCAATACATTTTTGAAGGAAAAAATATCCCCAGCAATACATTTTTGAAGGAAAAAAATATCCCTAGCAATACATTTTGAAGGAAAAAATATCCCCAGCAATACATTTTTGAAGGAAAAAAAATATCCCTAGCAATACATTTTTGAAGGAAAAAAATATCCCCAGCAATAAATTTTTGAAGGAAAAAAATATCCCTAGCAATACATTTTTGAAGGAAAAAAATATCCCCAGCAATACATTTTTGAAGGAAAAAAAATATCCCCAGCAATACATTTTTGAAGGAAAAAAAATATCCCCAGCAATACATTTTTGAAGGAAAAAAAATATCCCTAGCAATACATTTTTGAAGGAAAAAAATATCCCCAGCAATACATTTTTGAAGGAAAAAAAATATCTCTAGCAATACATTTTTGAAGGAAAAAAATATCCCCAGCAATACATTTTTGAAGGAAAAAAAATATCCCTAGCAATACATTTTTGAAGGAAAAAAATATCCCCAGCAATACATTTTTGAAGGAAAAAAATATCCCTAGCAATACATTTTTGAATGAAAAAAATATCCCTAGCAATACATTTTTGAAGGAAAAAAAATATCCCCAGCAATACATTTTTGAAGGAAAAAAATATCCCTAGCAATACATTTTTGAAGGAAAAAAAATATCCCCAGCAATACATTTTTGAAGGAAAAAAAATATCCCTAGCAATACATTTTTGAAGGAAAAAATATTACCAGCAATAAAAAAAATTGTCGGCATTAAATAACTCATTGAGGTTGACATGCCGTAAAGCAAACTAAACCAAAAGAGAGTGCTGGGAACATCTGCATCAACCTAATGTATTCTGATAATAAGCTTAGGTATTAAATTGATGAATCCAATTGAAAAGTAAATTTGGTAGGCTCATCACATTTATTGCCCTGATATTAATATATACTTTATGCTCGTAATTAATTAATAAACCCTGTTAGAAAATATTCTCGAAGCTCTCTTCAGAAAAAAAAACAACATTCATTCATTTTTCTTGTACTTTTTTTTCAAAGAAAAACAATTAGACTTCTTGGAAATAGCAGCTACTTTTCTCTCTGATAACACCGTGTTTGCATTTCGACCTGACCTCTGCCATTTATCACGTTAGTGACTTGTGGACATCACAGAACATGGCGAATAATGAATACGTCGTGTCTGACTCACAATTGTTGATGTGCACGTGTCGTAAACGGTTTCTCGGGAGGCTTTGTAACATGTGTTGTATGGGGTCATTTAGATCAATGACATATGTGCTGTAACTACGATGGTTGATTGATGGCGGCTTCGGAGGAGGAAGCAACCACTGGGGAAATAGAAAAAATGTCCTTACGTTAAGCAGTAAGCTTTTTTTTTAGTTAACTCTTTACTTACTTAATGAAAAGTTTGCATGGGTGAAATAGACGCTCTCACATGGAAGCAAAAATATAGATATTTACTTAGCATAGCATCGTCTGGTACGATAGAATGGAATTGCATAAAAGAACGAAGCGGACATCTCTTTTTTTGTTTAACCATCTGAATGATTATCAGCTCAATTATAGAACTTTATTAATGCTAAAACTAAACATTGAAATTTATAATAAAAAACAGAGGTTTAGATGTAACAAATCTGGTCTGCAATGAAGAGCCCAAATTCCATAATGAGGTTAAAGTCTGCATTTAACCGAATTTGACTTATTTTCCCTCGAGTTTCTAGTGCCAAAAGTGGATACGTTGAAACAAGAATAGCAGTCTAGATCATGATTTTCTGATAAATACAAGTTATGACAAAAAACTAATATTTGGTGCCCGGACAAGACAACCATGTTCTGAATTTCTGTAAATCGTAGTTGAAAATCCTAAACAAACTGCACAAGAATTTGCAAAGCATTTCAACAAAAGACACACAATCATAAAATAGCTTCACTCGAAAAAGTGTCTAAAGTTTTGAAATGCTTCTTTCCTCATTTGGATGCTTGATCAAAGTGATTCCCTCTGATTGTCATTGAAGATTAGACTTGATACCGAACATTTCCTTAGTAAAAAAAAAAAAAAAAAAAAATACCACTAGTGACGAAAAAAAAATTTCTTTATAATCATATTCAACGAAATCAATAATGGTTAGAAATCACTGAAAAAGAAAATCTATCTCTAAGCCAGGGCTACACAGGAAACTCGTCTTGTTTCGTGGGATATGGAAGGCGTCAGCTAAAATAAAATTATGAACCAAAATGGAACAGTTAATGAAGAAAATTATTGTTGCCAACTCGAACTATTACAGAAAACTTTCAGAAAAAGCATCCACCATTGTTTAATTGAAAAAGCCTGTCATTCTCACACAATAATGCAAGATCACATATTGACCGAGATCTCACCTCCCAAGGAATAGATTATGGCACTAAATATGAAAGTTTCTCATCCTACTTACTCTCTTGACATTCGCTAAAATCGTTACAGTTAAAAACAGGGATCTGCAGTGATAAACGTTTTTCTTTTTACTACTGTTTTACGTTCTCTTCAACGCAACGACATAGTTGTAAGAACAAAATACTTTATAAACACACATTCAATTTTTCTTCATTAGAAGAAATGAGGACATTGATTCACGATGAAGTAACATGATAGTCAAGTAAGAAATATTGTGGAATTTCAGCAAGAATCATTTTTAATTATTTCACCCCACGCAAGGCAATAAAGCCACTAAAACACAAGGGGTTACTATGTGTTAGAAGATATGAAAAATATACTATTAATGAGAGAAGACAATAAAAGAAGAAGAATTAAAAAGACAACGCTAAAGATAATGATTGGCATTGCATTTAAGTTCTTTTCTATCTCTTTTTGTAAATCTATTTTTTATTTCATCCAAGACTGTTAGACTCGTGCCATACCGAGAAGAATCGACACAAATCGAATTGTATTTGAACATAGATTTTAATATTACAATCGAGTAAAACAAAGTAGTAATTTTAAGACCATTCCACCAACTCGCAGACTAATTGGATAAACGGTTGTGCCATTTGCTATAATAAAAGAAAAACAACTGCCCTGTGATCATAAAAGAGATCAGCCAAAAGTCGTATAGACGAACTTAGATTAGCTGGTAACTAGGTTAAAAGAATCGTTCTAATGCATTGCGTGTCGTCTTTGGATTCTAGTGGTCTATTGGCAGTTCCTCAGTAGAGACCCCAACACTGCATCAACAGTATGATAGTGCTTGCTATTTTTGTCTAGCCTACGCATTTTGTAAAATTGTCATGATTTTTTGAAGGTTTTTTTTTAAACGTCTTGATACAAAACCATCACAAAATATTGGGTTAAAACTGAAATCTGAAATGAAATTTTGTTCAAAATGGTGAATATAGGCACAGAGAAGGGTGTTTTCATGAAGGGAAAAGTTATCTAAAAACAGCTGTTTGGAATTTTTTATAAATAAGACATTCGAAGAAAATGGATACGTGAGTGAGAAAACAATTGATAGAACATGTGAGAAACGAGGAAGTTTTAATGGAAACTAACAAGGAACTGTTAGAAAGAAAGAGTTGGAATCTGCGAGACACATAATGAGGAAATAAGGTCTGGGGAATCTAGCACACACAGCGTATACTGAAGATAAAAGAATTAGGTGTAAAACAGCAAGTAAGCCACAAGTTTGCGTGAATGGATAACAGGGGCAAAGGTAAAGTGTCAAAACATACAGTAACAAAAGAAAAGACGTTGTGGAGAGTCATGAGCAACCACATCAGATCACATCACATTTATCAAGCTGGAAAATTTATCGTTTTGTTTAAATCCTCATTAAAACTGAGTCTGTTGACCGCGATTCTGTCAAACAGGTTCTGACGACCAAGAAGGCCGGATGCATGTGCATCATTTCCGTAAAACTGCTCACCTGACATAGTGGCTGACTCCAGGGTAGTTCGTTCGAGTAGCTGAGAGACTCTGAAGTCGAATTAATTTTTGGCGGGACAAGTTATCCTTATCTCAAGAGAAGGAGAATGGTGAAAGAACGAAAGAAGAAATAAATAAAAGAAAGAAAGAAAAGGCTTCTTTAAAGTAAGTTAGATCATGATGATGAAGAAGACAAAAAAGCATTTCACCAGAGCTCGTTAATTCAGAGACGGCAAGTATATGGCAAAGACAAAATAGCAGATGAATGACGAAGCAAATACAAGGCAAAGAAAAAGTGAAAGAAAGAAAACACATTGTAAAAATGAAAGATTCTTTCAGAAATGGTTAGTAGAAATAAAAACGAAAAGAAATGATTATCTTTTATAAACTCGTTATCGACGGGACGCCATTAAAGATTGAAATGCAGAAAGAAACGACATTAAAAGAGATTATATGGGTGAGAAAGAAAGAAAGAAAGAAAGAAAGAAATAGAGAAAAGAAAGAAAGAAAGGGAGGAAGGGAGAAAAAAGAAAGAAATGGAGAAAAGAAAGACAGAAAAGAAAGAAATAGAGAAAGAAAGATAGCAAGGGAGAAAAGAAAGAAGGAAAGAAAGAATGGGGAAAAGAAGAAAGAACGAAATGAAGAAAAGAAAGAAAGAAAAGAAAGAAAGAAAAGAAAGAATTGGAGAAAAGAAAGAAAGAAAGACAGAAAGAAAGAAATGGAGAAAAGAAAGAAAGAAATTGGAGACAATAAAGTAATGGAAGAAAGAAAGAAACAAAAAGAAAGAAAGAAAGAAAGACGATAAAACCGTGTAGATTAGAAGAGAAACAAAGAAGACAGCTTTATCTTAATTAGGTCTATTTGACATTTAAGGATCAGCTCAGCCCTAATATTTAGTAGTGAATGTGGAGAACAGGATTCGTTCGTCACTTCTCTTGAATTTCCGAAAGAGTGAGAAAAAAAAAACTACCAGGATTTATTGTCGGACATAATCTTAGCAACATAAGATATGTAGATGACACTTTTCGACGACAGAGAGGAAAAAAAAAATCAAAATTGCCAGAACATATAGACAAGGCAGCAAAGGAAAGCAAGAAGAAAGGACTAATCATTAAGTGGAAAATGACCGAATTCATGGTTGCCAGAAAGTCTAAGATGAAGGCTATGTTATGTGGTTGACAAATCCAAGCAGATGTTGGAAAAGCAAATGGAAAGTGACACAGAAAGAGGGAGACACATGGCGGCAACAAAATATGCGTTTTTAGAAAAAAATGCAAAATCTTTTGTGAACCCCAATGAATCTAATCACGTATATTATTTCATTTTTAAAATGAATTTTTTAATTTTTTGGTATATTTTACTTCGAACCTAAATTTTAGTATTTGACAAAAATCCTCTAGTGGCCAATAAATATAAAGAGCTCTCGAAAGGAGTAGTGACAAATGGTCTAAGGAGCACAGAAGGTGTGAAACACTCACATTACAGTGTTGATTCCGATCTCCGCACACACTCTGTCACTCTCTCTCTCTCGCTCGTTCTGTTGTTCTCTCTTTTTGCTCTCTCACCCTATCTATCTATCTATCTATCCTGTATTTTTATTCTAAAAACATATGAGTGTATTTGTGCCTTGCGTTTTGTATGTGTGTGTGGGTGTCTCTGCCTTCTCTCCCTCTCTCTCTCTCTCTATATATATATATATATATATATATATATTTATATATGTGTGTGTGTGCTTGTGTGTGTGTGTTGTTTTCAAAGGTTCTTGATAAATAAAAGAAAAATCTGCATTAATATTGGCTCGGACCTGGCATGTCGGCGTCAGTCATTTTCTATCTATCTATCTATCTATCTATCTATCTATCTATCTTGTATTTTTATTATACAAACATATGTGCGTATTTGTGCTGTGCGGTTTGTATTGTGTGTTTGTGTGTGTGGGTCTCGGCATTCTCTCTCTCTCCTCCTCCTCCTCTCTCTCTCTCTCTCTCTCTCTATATATATATATATATATATATTTGTGTGTGTGTGTGTGTTGTTTTTAGAGGTTCGTGATAAATAAAAGGAAAATCTGCAAGATTATTGGCTCGGACCTAGCATTTCGGCTTCAGTCATTTTCCCAGCGCCATAAACTAAATTCCCTGTGCCTTTTTTTTTATAAATATTTCTATGGCAATTGTTTTGATGTGCTTTCCTCTTTGGTGACTAGACTTTCTAGTGCAGTACTAGATTTTAGACTTCAAATAGCTAGATGTAACCTTTTATTTTTCTAATTTTCTCCCACAGTAATCCATTGCATCTTAGTGGCTTTATTGTCTTGCTTTACTTGGTATACTCCAACGGAAGGGGGTCCCCGACCTCTTTATGGGGTATTTTCTGTCTTATTTCAGCTCAAGCAGGCTACAGATTGAGGATAATCTGATCCATCCTAAATACGGTGGAGTAAAATAGGGGAATCACCTATACCCCTGATTATTCAACCTGGATCAGATACTAGAGGGACAGGAGGAATACGCCGTTACCATCGGCGCGATAGTTCTCAACCAGATGGCTTACGCCGACGACTTGATTCTATTCGCCAGATCCCCTGAAGAGATGCAAAAGCTGCTGGATGGACTCGTGGTCGGCTTCGGCGGCCATGGACTCTTGCTAAACGCCCTGAAATGATGTGTGCTCTCCATTCGCGGCGACAAGAATAGGAAATTCAGCTTTGTTGACACAGATGTATCGCTCTCGGTCGAGGGCACCCACCTGCCGGAGTCCAGTTCACCTGGAAACGCCTCGCCTGAACACCGCTCGATCTCGATAAACTACTAATCCGTCTCAACCGTGCTGCGCTGAAACCGCAACAAAAGCTGATCATCCTTAAATTGCCGTGTCTACAACAACAGCTAACCTTCATAAGAGCAAGCTCGACAAAAGAGAAAAAGCAGTTCGTCGGGCCGATGGCAGCTGTCTGCGGCTACCGTTGGATTGTTCCAAAAAATGGTAAAAATGGTTGCTGAAGACATTAGGTTTATAATACCAAGAAATTCACAAAGAGGTGCCCTCAAGGACAACATGACACAGTGGATAAAGTTGTTAGATCCCGTGACAGGACCCAAAGAGTGTGAGTTCAATACCCAGTTAGGGCAGTGGATAATTCGGAGAGGAGAATTAACATGAGATAACTGATAACTGACATCGATTAGACATGGCACGTGGAACTAGAAGAGTCTACCCCAGCGATTGAAATAAAGGGTTCAGTTCGACATTCCAAAGAACGTACAACGGCCGAAACGTTGAGATAAATATGGCAGCAAAAATGAGCACGAATTATATATATATATATATATATATATATATATATATATTCAAAAATTTAACATAATAATACTGCTGTTATAGTTTGTTTAGGTTATAATTTTTGAATAAATAATATTTGCTTTACTCTGTATTGAGCTCTCTTTTAAGAATAGCGTTTTTGGTTATTGATATACTTGTATACTTATATATATATATATATATATATATATATATATATGCGCGCGCGCGCGTGTGTGTGTGTCTGTGTGTATGTTTTTGTGTGTGCGTGTATACCAACAGAAGCTGGTTTAAATACTAGTATATTCAAACAGCAGAACGAATTCTATAATAACGGAATCTCAAGTGTCAAACCGCACATCATATGTCCGCTACACTTAGTTCTCCCTTTTCTATCGAATCGTCTCTATTCACAAAAATCACTTTTGTTTTTGGTCACAGTTCCAATTCCTTATTAACAGCTCCATCTTTAATTTAAAAAGAAAATCGAAAAACAGAATAAGATCGACCATTGTTTTATTCGATGCGCAATTCTAAGATGGCTGCCTGACTGTCACGCGAAGTGGAAAATAAACCATCTGTCTGTATTCACACGGAAGGACACGGGAGCATCTGTAAACAAAATTATTTCTTCTACTAAATAAAACTACTACTACTAATAATTAGTAATGTTATTACGGAATATAATGAAGATGATAATAAAACAATATAGTCATTACTAATGATATTAAATAATTGTTGAATATGTTGATTACATATTCATTTGCATTTTATTAGTACTAACCCGAGTGGTCCACCCCCGAGGTCTCTATCCTTTGTTTTTGATTTCCATTAATGACCTTCCCGTTTTTACATAATAATAGCTTCGATCCTTGCAGTAAACACACACACACACACACACACACACACACACACACACACACACACACACACACATATATATATATATATATGTAAAAGTGAACATAGAAGTCAACACTTAGAGGCGACAGTCTTTTTCATGCTAGACGGAACCCTCAGGCCACGAGTGCTGTTATTTTTCTCGGCTATTTATATATACGGGTCAGTGGTGCATTGTGGGTAGTCGATTTTGGCGGTTATAATACCAGAAGTCGTTTGTTTATTTATTTATTTGGGTTAAATTATTTTGCTTGTTTTTATTTTTATTTTTTATGTTATTAAATTTGTGATTAAACCCATCTGGATAGAGTGTTTTTAGGCGCCGAATCCACTTATTTTCAAGTTCTTCTAAAATCTTTCTAATGTTTTCTGCTCTGAACTTTTCTATATTCTTAATTATAGTGAATTTAGCATGGGCTTTAAAATCGTGTTTTCTAGGCGGAAATGTTGTTCTCTTTTATGGAGAGCCGACTTTATTCGATTGCGATAATTATTAATTTTGTAGTTAAAGAGTCATTCAAATTTTTCTTACATATTGTTTCTGGCATAGTGTGCATTCTAGGTAGTAAATTATGTTATGACTTCGACAGTTAGAGTCGTGGTAGATATTGAAAGTAGATTTAGGGACTGAGCTAGTAAATGAATTCGTGTGTCTAATGTGGTTACAGCATAAGCTTCTTTTGTTGCTACATGGTTGGGAAAATCTTGTTTTTGTTTTATTACGGATTACCTTGTCCCCTGAAATATGGTTACTAACTATAATTTCCTATAGGTTCTTAGGCATGCGATATGCTAGAAGGCCGAGTTCCTCAAACAATTATTTTAGGTCTGATTTGAGATGTAGTATTACCCAGCCACGTTTTTATTATTTGGGGTAGTGGAGGCAAAGTGGTGTTGAAAATGGTTGCTAGAGGGATGGGTTTATTTTTAATCTTGTACATTAGGGTGTCTTCTCTAGTTGTGTAAATTGCTTTTATTTATTCGTTCCATATATATATATATATATATATATATATATATATATATATATATATAAACCTCTCAAGAGGATGTTCCCCGATCATTACAATCTTAACCTGTTCAAGTCTAGAGACAACCATTATCTTCCCTCCTACCCCTTGACGTAACCCTCTACTTTGAGCGGTCCCCGGGCCTTGTACAGGGAGAACTTTACTGTAATATATATATATATATATATATAAATGTGAACATATAAGTCAACATTAGAGGCGACAGTCTGTTTCATGCTATATGCAATCGTCAGGCCTAACGATTGCATATAGCATAAAACAGACTGTCGCCTCTAAGTGCTGACTTCTATGTTCACATTTTTATTTTCACACGCTCTATCTCTGATATCGAGCACTTTATCCCATAAATATAGCACACCTTAAGAGTATATTTCTTCATATATATATATATATATATATATATATATATATATATTACTTTGCGTGTACGTATAACCACGCATATTAGAATGCCAATCCCTTGATGCCACATACTTGACAGGGAAATAAACAGTCAAGAATAATCATTTAGCTTAAAGTTTTCAATATAACACGTAGGAGAGTATTTTACTAAACTTTGTCCTTAGGTTACACTTGTAAGACGTCCATTGAACTCTCACTCTTCTAATGATGTTGCAATGAACAATCTATTGTCGGCTACACTTTGAAGAGAAATTGAAACTGAAAACAACAGGGAGGCGTATGAAAAAAAACTATCATGTAGGAATAAAAGGGTTTTTAACCCGGAATGTATGTGGTTCTCTTATTTTTAAACTTTCCTCTTCGCTCTCTGTCCAAATAACGTTCATTCTTCTTCATCGTGTCAAATTTATTTTAGTCTCCCATTGATCAGAGACCACAGAGTAAAGCCAATCTTTGGCTTCCCACTCAAATGGTGACGAAAAGACTGCCTGCTGCCTTATCTTCCCAGCCGAGGTTTTTATGTCAGGCGTGGAGGTGGAATTCCTTGCGAAGTGTTAGAACAGAAGATGGAAAATGTGAGAAATCTGAAGGCGTATTGAAATATCGAAAAGTGCTTTCCAAAGGGCTAAACATAATATTAAGAAACAGCAAGCTTTCTTCGGAATCAAGTATAAAATTACTCAAATGTTATAGAATATCTATCCTTCTGTATGACGTAATGCTGAACAATATTCTCACAGAAGAAGGGACTTGAAGCAGCAAATATATAATTCTACAGAAGGATGCCGAGAATACCAGAGATGAAGTTTTGAGGAAAATGGGAATGAAAGGAACAATTGAATCAGAAAGCGGCAACTGAAATTTCTGGGACACCTAATTAAGAAAGAAATATTGGAAAATTAAATACCTAGGACATATTAAAGACAAGACTGGTATAGTGAAAGAATGAGTAATTGTTGTGGTAGGATCCACCTAATTTGCATAGTGGAGTACCGACCATATAAATATGGTTGGTACCGGGAAGAGAGGGAGGAATCAAGGGATTCAACCAGAGACTCTGCCCGACTGCAACTCAGTCAACACATTCTCCAGGAACGGTCTTCCCAGGAATATACAAAAAACTATATGTAAATATTGTGTCCACTTTCTTGTTTCAATACATTTTGTTCTAAGTACATTTTGTGTTGCATTATTATTCCATGCATTAGTCAAGTTTCAACAGTAATACAGAGCGTCTCTCTAAATCTTGGATACATAGGCAAAAATACATTTCTAGAAATGAAATTTTCAACAACATTTTATAGATTTGAAATATTAACAAATAACATATTCAATATGATTTCAATCACTTGTGATGCAGAGGTTGATGCGCTTTGCAAAATTCATGTAGATTCAATGCAATAAAATCACATTGTCGTCAACTTTAGCATATACGCACTCTTTATGCGTTCAATCAACTGTGTTGCATCTGTGAGTTATGATGATGTCTAGGACAGATAATGGTTGAATTAAAAAAGATCGTAGTATTCGGGAAACCATCCTCTCAGGAGTTTTTTGCATAAAGTGACACATTCTCGTGATGAATTTTCTATCGAGCGCTTCACCGATTCTATGTTTATTGAACGTTAAAACATCAATGGTGAACGTAGAAGAACGAAACCCATACTGTTTGTTGTTCAGAAGGCTATTTCTCTTGAGGCGATCAAGAACTCCCCAGTTGATAAGAGACTCAAAAAGTTTGCTGATGACACTGGGGCGATATTGTAATTGGAATAAACGCTCAACCACATTCTTGAAAAAGGACACACAGCTGACACATTCCACAAACTTGGGAATCATTTCTCCTTCAAGCAGTGGTTGAAGAACTTTACCAAGATTCTAGATAGCTTCAGGATTAGGGTTTTTAGAACAAACATAGGGATTTTATCCAGAGCAGTGTCCTTAACAATGCTTTTCATGAAACTTTGTGAACAAAGATAACGGTATCGCCATTTTTGTCTTCCGCGAAAAGTGGAGAAATCAGATAGGGGATGACCCTTATAATATTGTCCGTGTTTAAATTTTTATATAAGTGAAAAACGAGTGAAAACCAGTCGTTCGGTTTTGACCTCTTATGTTGTCCGTGTCACTGCGTGCCGTAGTTTCGACATGAAGACACGCCACTACGTGGACAGGATAGATCGCTGATTGACCTATTACACCCGTTCTCTTTTCCCCTCTCCCAAGAACCGATGCTTACTTACCATATCCCCGCCGAAAATAAAGCGAGTAAAAAGAAACCTAAGAATATTGTTTGTCGTTGATTGAATTTGTTTATGCAGCGCTCAGGTCCCCACTGAAGAATTGCCGACAGACCACTAGAACCCTGAAACGATTCGCATCACAACACTTATAGATAGAAATAATACGACGTTGTGGAGCGGCATGATTAATAACGGGTTTTGAGCCAATATCAAAGCGTCGTATCTGTTCCCATTTTCAATCGACTGTAAAGAGGTCTTGGTTCCGTGATTCCATCCCTGCATTGAGGACTTCCACAACAAACCAGCCTTACCTCTTTTTAGGAAATGCACTCTTCCTATCAGGTAAGTAACATTCTACTTTCATACAAATATAACAAGTATTCATTGGTCAATCTTGCTTGCTGATTGGTCAGTTCCGACCAGTCAAACCGCCTGCACGCGACCAATCTGTTTTTCCCACGTTCTCCGTTTGAGCCTCCCACGTGGTACACGACCATTATATAAACCCAACACGTGTAAACTCCCTCGAGTTTTCTCTTCATTCATCTCTCTCGCACGTCTCATTCCTTGCTACCAAGTGCCAAGACGTAACCTTCAAGAACTCCCGTCTTAGTCATTGCTGGCCAGACGTTAAAGACAATTACCAACATTCACGAACTCTGAAATCACTCCTGAACTTTTACCAACGTTGCAACTCACATTTCCAAACTTTATTCTTCTAAATTACTAGTTTAATATTACTTCTTCTTAATATGAACTCCGGTACAACTAATACCTAATCAAAGGGACACGACTCTGTCCTACCTTTTCAGTTCGCATGCATGTACATAAAACATTAATAAATTCAACTGTTATATTTTGAAATCATTCCGTTCAGTTTTGTATTTTATACTATGTGCTATTTACGTCAAATATAAATTGCATTGCGTCCACGCATTGTCCTTAATCCCACCTTTTCTAGCCAAAGTTAAATATTGGTAACTCAATCACTACAATAATGAAGACCGCGACGTTCGTCGTTCGACGTTCACAACAACAATGGTAATACAACCACTACAATCTTCATTTTCGATTTATTTAAGCTTAATATTCACGAAATGCTGAACATAAATAAGAAAATATAAAGCAAAATCAAGTGTTTGTTCAACGCAATTTCAACTTTAACATATTTCTTTTGCCATTTACCCTCAAGTAAGGCGATAGTGACTTTTACTTTTACTAAGAGTCAATGTGGCTAAAGAGTGTGAAAGAAACTGAGAAAAAGTTAGTACGTTAAAAGACCGGCATTTGAGGAGGAAGATGACGACTGACGTTCAATTTACATTTTTGAAAATCGTATTTAACAGGAAAGCAAGAAGCCGGAAGCAAGAAGCCTCGAGAGAGATCCACAAGTGAGAAGGACATGATTGCTGTTATTTTAGCGATATGATTAAATTATTTTATAATACTAATTTACTCAGGTTTTTAACATGATGTCATATTTGAATCTCATATTATTCTAGATCCGGTCTCAGTGATTGCACGGATTCCTGACGTCATCCAATTCCATTATTTATTATATTCAGCAGGTCAGGGGGATTGCAGTTTATGACGTCACAAATCTGCTTAATATACGTCTGGGCTTGTCATTCTCTGCTAGCTCTTCTTGCACAAAGGAAATTCATTAACGTCTTCAGCTCTCCAGCAACATTCTGCGAGTCTGATTCTAAGATCTTTCATAATGTTAATGTAGTAATTCACATGAATGGTCAGTTTATTACTTAATAACAATGTAAAATTGATCTCCCAACCAGCTTATGTCCGGTCAAAACTTAAAATTCATACTATTTTTTTTTATATTTACTCAACCCCACCGCCACCACCACCACCACGAGGTCAGGTTGTGATGTGGGGATCCCGAGTGCATACACCCGGGTTAAGAACAAAAATTGCCCGAGCCTCCTCAACCGGCGGTTGTGCTGGCCTCGGTGCGAGCACCGATCCCACTCTCTGGTGCAATGAGAAGGCACGGCCTTGGGTTCCTATCCCTGGGTAACAACCCAGGGATGGGAACCTCTCAGTATAATTGTCCTCGGTTGCAACTCTGTCGTTCGCCGGAGCTGCCGCTGAGCGCACTCTACTCAGAAACAGAGACATAACTGAGAGATGATAGAGTAATTTACCCATTTACATTCATATTATTAGTGTGCCACATGTATCCGTTCGTATTTTTTCTGATATTCTGCGAATGATCTTGAAGAATAATCCTTCGTAGCAATTTTTTGGCTCTTTAGTAACTGTAGTCATTCTGTAAAACTGCTGTCCAACGTTATTAAAAATTTGTTTCAGATTAGTCACCCATTTGAGATGGAATGCCAAATAGACAAGAATAAACATGTTCGACATATTCTCTTTCCTTTTGAATCAAGGTCACAAAGCTAAGAAATTTGCTCGAGATATTTGTGCTGTTGTTTTGAAGCGTTTCAAAACAACCCAACTGTCAATTCTAAGCCGTATATTGAACAAATAAACACGCTTCAAAGAGTCAATTCAAATGAAAAAGCCTGACTGATGATAAAGTGTGATTATTCAACATGAAAATGCTCGTCCCTCACGTTGCTAACATGTCCAAACATGCAATTAAATTGCTCGTTTAAGGAATTCTGCCACACCCGCAGTATTCTCCTAATTGAGTTCCTTCACACTACCATCTTTTTAGGTCTCTTTCTAACAATTTGAGGGGTGATTCGTTCAACAACGATGTGGAGCTAAAATCGTGGTTTGATGAATTGTTCGAGTCCAAAAGTTAATGGATCATTAGCAGGATGTCGTAGACAATGAAAGGGAACACATTGTTGAATGATTCATCGGAACTATTAATAAATATTATGTATTAAAATGAAAGATAAAAAGGACGATTTTATGTAGCAAGCTAATAGCTTATCAATGCCGTGAAATGACTATATTTAACAGTAAGTTCTATATTAACTGTTTCTTCTCACGCATCCTCACTTGTGGTACAGTCTTTCGGCTTTTTTGCTTTCCAGTTAATTTTGCTCTTCAAAAATTTCAATGCAATTTCAATCGTTACCTTCTGTCTTTTTAATTAGTGTTCTTTTAATATTCCCTCTCTTTATCAATGTTCTTGTCATATTTTTTGACTCCTTGCATCTTAGCAGCTTTATTTCCTTGCTTGAGGTGTATGTTTTGTTTTTCCTACCACTTGTACTGTTAGGCGTCGCGGGGAGACACAGTCATCTGTCAGCGGCAAGGCGAATCGCCTGAAGGAGAGATATCTCGTGGACTCTGAGAGTGTCTGCCACTGAGTCGCTCCAGCGTCTTCTTGGTCTGCCTCTCGCTCTCCAGCCAGTGTACCTGAGGATTTATGCTAGTAGGACTGGTTGGTTGATAGGCATACGAGTGAGGTATCCGAACCTATGTCGTTATATGTGTTGTATGATTGGTATTGCTCCTACCGTATCTCATATTGCCTCCCAAATCCCAACTCTTCGTCCTCGTCGTGGGAGGTGGAAACAGGTAATGCTGGCCAACGGGGCACTGGTGAAGCTGTGGTTGGCTTAGCAGGCCGACAGTGAATAAAAAATGCTCAAGGAAACAAAAGGAGATACAAACGAACTGATCCTGGCGGAAAACGACCCGGCAAGGAAAACGGACAACGAGCTAGGAATAAATAAAAGGTTGCTTGAAGCGAATTGATGAAAAGGCTATCAAAATGAAAGTAAACAAATATAGCTTCATATGATCATAAATGTATATAAAATGGCCACTGCATTCAATGTCTCACTCCAGATCATGAGAGAATAGACGTTGTAGTGAGTATCACACCAGACCATCAAAGAAGTTAGATGAAGGTTTAACCTGAGGTAACCTCCCAGCTGTCAATTGCAGTCATGTGTCGACCAAGACTTACCTAGGTTGAAAGCGTTGGAAAGTGCTTGATTACAAGAGGTATTTAAACAACTATCATAGTGAAGAGATGAGCAGTCTCTTAAACGTAGCTGACGAGAATGTAGCGTCCACACACACAATGTCCGATGGAAATTGGCAAAGTCTGGGATTGAATGAAATAATTTTAAATAAGAGAAAGTAAGTCTCATTAATCTGTACAAGGACTTCATTACAGCACTTTTTGTTTCAATTTAAAATTAATTTTTATTTTGCAATATAAATTCCTAGCAGTATAATATATTTGAGAAATGTTTATGCATATGTTTTCAGAAACATAAATAAGTAAATCAAACGTATTGACGTTAAAACAAATAACGTAAACAAATGGAATTGCGAAACGTTTCTGCTAATAATCGAATGATGCAGAAAAGAAAGAAATCAGACAAAGGAAATGATTGATACACAAAAATGAGACCTTTAATATCATAGCATCCTTTTTTGTCCATGTAGCAATTAGCATACCTTTCATCAGAAATTAAGCGTTGCATCAGACAGAAGGCGAGAAAACACAAACGTTCATGCAAACTAGGACTTGCACACTAGGATGTAGGGGTGAGTGGGAATGGAGAGAAAAATTACAAGTAGAAAAAAAGGTTAAAACCAAACAAGAAAACAAAGCCAAGTAAATGAAAATGTCAAATTATTTAGTGAAAGTGGGGAGGAAAGCGTGTAATTATATAAGTGTGCATGTTGTTTATATGAGAGAGGAGGAGAATAAAAATGAGAGAAAGAAAAATGGACGACGACGACGACGACGACGACGAAGAAGAAGAAGAAGAAGAAGAAGAAGAAGAAGAAGAAGAAGAAGAAGAAGAAGAAGAAGGTCGATGAAAGTGTAGTAAAAGATAGGAAAGCAGAACAGATATAGAAAAATAAGAAAGAGGAAAATATGAAAAGTGAAGTAGGAAGAGGAAATAGAGGAGGAAGAATTTTCAGGGGACATACCTCTTTTTTTACAGGGGTGTTCACCCTGTACAAGGCCCGTGTACCACTCGAGATAGAAGGTTACAGAGTAATAGGTACTGTTTATGCGGATATGTATTGAAGATAACGGTTAACCCTAGATTTGAACAGGTTAAGATTGTAGTGATCGAGGAAGCAACCTCAAGGGAGTCGGTTCCAAAAGGCAGTGGTTTGTGGGATTCAACTAAGACTAAATAATAAACAGATACAGTCAGAGACACCCAGGGATTAAGAGAAGTAAAGAAGAAAAGCTTGAATAAAACCTAGTGAGGTTGATAGGCAGCGATGTAAAAAGATAAAGGGATGGAGCGGGAGAAGGTAAAGTAAGAAGTGGAATGTTAATGTGTGTGTATGAGTATGAGTATCTGTTAAAGTGAGAGGGAGAAAACGATTATGCAGATATGAGAAAAATAGAGAGGATTATATAGGGTAATATAAGAGAGTTGGATAGAGGGAATGATATATATATATATATATATATATATATATACAGAGAGAGAGAGAGAGACAGAGAGAGAGAGAGAGGGGGGAGAGAGATAGAGAGTGAGAGAGAATGAGAGTGAGTGAGTGAGAGAGAAAGAGACGAAATGCAACGAGGAAATGATAATTTTTGAGAAAACAACATGGGACACTTTGGATAATGGTCGAAAAAACAAACATATATAAATAGACATTGAAAATGAAGGGCAACTAGAGAAAAAAGAATGAGATAGAGAGAGTGGGGGAGAGACAGATACATAGATAGAGAGAGAATGAATGATCTGGTAAAAGTATACGAAAATAAAAATATAGACACTGGAATAAGAGGAGAAACCTCGTCAGGATAAAATGAAAATTGTATAGAAAGGAAGAAAGAGAGAGGGAGAGAGAGAGCGAGAGAGAGAGAGAGTAAGAAAGAGAATAAAAGTGAGAGAGGAAGAGAAATAGAAATAGGAGGATGGAAAGAAAGGAAAAGACAAAGCATCCTAAGTAAAATAAAGGGAAAGGTTTGTGGAACAGAAAATGGGAGAGAACGAGAAGATAGATAGATAGATAGATAGATAGATAAGAGAAGAAGGAAAATGCGAAAACTAAAACATAGTGATAAAACATCAAACTTGCAGAGAAAGAGAGAGAGAGAGAGAAAGAGATATATAGAAAGAGAGAAAAAGAGAGAGAGAGAGAGAGAGAGTAGGATGGAAAGAAGACGGAAAAGAAAGCGTGTCAAGAAAAGTGTACGTAAACAGTACGTAACAGAAAATAAGAGAGTTGGAGTAGAAGAGAAGAAAACAAGATAGAAAGATAAAAAGTATGAATTTAAAAAGCTAAAATTAAAAAAAGGCCAAGAGAAAAAGAGGAACAGAATGAACGTAAAAGAGAAAAAAGAGAGAAAGAAAGAGTGAGAGAAAGAAAGAGTGAGAGAAAGAAAGAGTGAGAGAGTGAAAGAGAAATAGACAGGGAAAAGGTGAAATAGAATGCTCAAATAAATAAAGAAAAGTAGGAAGAAAGATAGAATGAACATAAGAGATAAAGTCAAAGAGAAAGAAAGAGAGAGAGAAAAGACAGATAGAGAGAAAAAGAGAAATCGAATGAACATAATATATCAAGCGTAGAAGAAATAAAAATAGAGAAACAATATTAACATAAAAGAGTAGGAGAAAGAAAAAGGGAGAAAAATACAGAGAGGAAAAGAGAAATAGAAAGAACAAAATTAAAAAGGAGAAAGAAAGAGATAATGACAGATAAAACGCAGAATGAATATAAGGAACAAAGAGAAGAAAGAAAGAAAGAAAGAAAGAGAGAGAGAGAGAGAATGACAGACAGAGATAAAGAGTCTGATATTTTATTGATTACTCTTGGGGAAAATGAAAGAATTGAAGAAAAGGGCATCAAAGAAACCTGCGGCTCGACGATAAAAATGTAATGGCTGGGTTTTTTTTTGTTTAAGCAGTCGATTGTTGAAAGCCATAAAGTGTTATTCTAATTATTTGTCTCTTTTAATCTTTGATAAGTTATGGTGAATGATAGCAGCCGCTGATGCTATCAGGGCAAATTTAAAAGGCAATATCAATTAATATTTGCCATTATCACACTGCTTTTCTTTTGTGTCTTTTTTACAGATTGCAGTTGTTATTAGACAAGTACGGTAACTAATAAACGTATAAAAAACACAAAGGCATTTGTTCACAAGCTCGGCTAAGTTTGCCACAAGGACAATCACTAAAACTATGTGTGTAGTTGTATCATCAATATATATATACAGGGTGACCCAAAAAAACGGGAATTTTTGAAGTGCGTATTGCCAGACATGAGCAAGTGGCAACACTGCGAGACAGTGACCTTGAGCAAGTAAACATTACGTCATTTAGAATTCAAGATGAAATTCCCAGTATCCCAGCTGAGATGTTGCAGCAGACAATGAGGAATCTCAACAGCAGATTTCAAGAATGCATTCGTACAGGAGGATGCCATCTACAGGACGTAATTTTTAAAAAATGAAAATTCCATAATTGTTTCTTAAATGGCATGTTTTAAGGTTTCAATTACTATGAATAAAATATTTTTCTTCCATCACTCTTGGTTTTATTGGATTGTTAAAAAGTTCCCGTTTTTTGGGGTCAGCCTTTATATATATATATATATATATATATATATATATATAATAAAGAAATTTATAAATTTAGTTTCAGTTTTGAAGCATGGAAATTTTCTGTTTCGCAATGGAATCACATTTTTAGAAAGAAAATAATTATATATGTATATATGAAATATGTATATGCATGAAAAGAAGCTGTTAGTATAAAACTTACGATTACATCTAGCCAGCTCATGTGTGAATTGATGAGATCTTGACGCCAGTGTAGCGCTTAAATTCAAGAAGACTATGTACCATAGTGAAGATCTCATCTGAACAATTAAAATCAAAGTATTTATAGAAAAGGCCCAGAGAGGCCTTGGGAAATTGACTGCTGAAGCGGAGTCGCCTGATCAGGACCATTAATATTGCTGATTCTTCTTTGGATCATATCAAGGATCTCAAGGTAAATAGCAAGGGCACCAGACCATATATGACAGCAATATTCTAAGCATGGGCGAATGGTAAACTTTTTGATATGTCAGATAGATTTTGGAGAGAAAAATTGTCTCGCACGACACAGTGAACCAAGTTTCTTAGCAGCTGACCTAGAAATGGATTCAATATAGTCTTTACCCTTGAAGGCAGCTGAGAAGGTTAGACAGAGAAGGCGAAACGAGTCACTTTCCTGGAGGTTAGCATTAGCCATACGGATAGAAGGCCGGAGAAGGTTCTCTCAGATAATTAATGGAGAGAAGTTTAGTTTTGGAAATGTTAAAATTAACAAGCCATCTTTTGCCGTAGTTAACGACGGACTTTGGGCATCGGCAGCCATTTTGACATTGTCGGACTATTGTCACTATATATATATACATACAAATATATATATATATATATATATATATATATATATATATATATATATATATATATATATATATATTTTGTGTGTGTGCGTGTGAGTATGCGTTTCTCTGTGTGTGTGTGTGTGTATAATTTGCATATACATTTTCTTATGTATATACGAGTACTGTATTTAAATATCACGAAAAATAAAGAAAACATCTAAGTAAAATAAGTAAGCATAGAGACAGAAATTGCAGTCTATACAAAAAAGAGAAAGTGCCAAGATAGTTTTTACAAGCACGAGAATCTTTTTACAAGCGGCAGTGAATCTCGTCGAAAACCCCGAAATTAGTACTCCTTCTGTGTAGAGCATTGACACGCTTCAAGAATATTTTCCTAATTACATCAATAGACCTTGTTTTGTTGATGAATGTGTTTATATCAGATGAGCGGATCGTTAGGGTTGACATCTCTGAACAGCCTTCTCTGATCAAGAAGAATACTGTATTTTGTGGCTTTCGGCGCTCGTATTGAAATGCCTTAACAGCGAAGAGGCGAAACTCACCTGCTTGATGATTAGGAACGTGCTCTAAATCGGTAAAATATCTTTCTCAACGGGTTTGGTAGATGTACCAGAAACTGCGCAACTGAAGTGATCTGGAGGAAACCGTAGAACAACTTTTAATTTACTACAGAATCATAAACCTGATGTGAAAGGCGAAATCTTTCCCGATCAATATTAGGTTAAATTACATTTTTATCCGGTTCATATTGACTAAAAATAAGAATTTATATCCTTTACATATATACCTATTTATTAAAGACATTTTTATGTTTAACGTTCTTTTTTTTATAGATACAAGTATTTAAGTAAATGCTCTGTTTATAATAAACAGTATTAAATAACATTTACCGGCCTGAATGTCCGAGAAATTTTCATAGAAAATATTCGTCCTTTGACAGGATTCGAACCTGCATCCTATACGGAACCGTCATTTATGCTGACGTGCCTAACCTTTCGGCCACAAAGGAGCGTTCGGTAGGCAAGGTCGAATTTACTGCTTTTATATATATATATATATATATATATATATATATATATATATATATATATATATATATATATATATATATATATATATATATATATATATATATATATATATATATATATATATATATATATATATATATATATATATATATATGTTCAATTTCTCTTTGTGATGAACGTGTTTTTTTCGCGTTACGAAGAAGAAACAAAGAAAATTTAAAGCAATAAACATTTTTATTAACATAAAATTCAATAAATGAAAAATCAAGATAGATGTCTCTCGTATGAAAAAAAGCGATGTGAAGTTGCAAAGGCATCCAGTGAGGCGTAGGGAAGGAGAGGGGGATAAGTTGTGACTTGTTGGAGCGACGGCGTTGGCGAGCTAGTCGAGCTAGTTTGGAGATGGGAGGTCGCTTTTTGACGAACGTGTGAACTCGGGTCGAGATGTCGTCCAACGATATTTAGTCACCCCCCACCCACGAGGGCATCATGTGTTACAAGGCCGGTTTAACATGGGATCTCCGAGCCCGTGGGCTCGGCCAAAAAAATATGCCCATTGAACCCGTATAAACAGGTTCAGGGTCAGTTTAACTCTCCGAAAGAGAATCCGCCCTTCGGCGTAGTCTTCTTCGGGTTCCTCCCCGACAGAAGGCAGAGAGTTCAGCCGATCAGCCAGTAGACTGACTGACCAACTCGTAACCAAGAGATGTCGTCCAACTGTCGAATGCGCCTTTGAGGGGTTTTTTTTATGTCCTTTTGAGGCTCAATCGGCATCAGTTCTCATTTTGTTCCTTTAGGCGGTAGTGTGCGCTATTGGGTGGATATTCTGGATTGTATTTCTTTCCTTTTCTTCTTTGAGTGCGTAAGAAAACGGAAGATATGTGCGGAGCTGACATTTTTAGTTGGGTTTTGGGCTTTCGAAGCGTTCGCATCTGGCTAGTAGCGGAAATAAGTGTAGCGTGTATCGGAAGAATATCTGATTTTGGGGGCAATGTGACATCTCGAAGTGATATATACATGGTGTCCATAAAGATCGTGTGTACTTTAAAAAATTTATAACTTTATTTGCATTTGCGATAGAAATGACTTGTAAAAAGCATTAGAAAGAAGTAAATCTATATTTTTAAAGGTTTTATTGAAATTTTATTTAAGTCTACACATGTCTTCCATCATTAGCAATACAAAGGGTAATACGATTTTGCAGTTCACGGAAAACATTTGCCAACTGATTTACAGTAATGCCTGAAATCACATTAGTTATTTTAGTATACTTAAAACTAGCTACATTAAACTTTATAACATTTTTTACAGATTATTTTTATCGCAAATACAAATAAAGTTATAAATTTTTTAAAGTGTACACGGACTTTATAGACACCCTGTATATATGGGCGATACATATTTAACATAGATTCAATGCAATTCAAAAAATATTGTTTTTAACAAATAGTGATTTTTAGAGAAAATGGAAACAAAAAGGACACTTTTACTTAACATCAGAAAGAGATAGTTGAAATTTCTGGAACAAATAATGAGGAAGAGGGCTCCCACAATTTAACACTTACAGGTCATATTGAAAGCAAGAGGGACAGAGATAAACAGCCTATAACTTACATAACGAGCTTAGTGTAAATGATTGCCAGAACAGGGATTAGGAGAGATAGCGAAAAGACAAAATTTATTAAGAGCTACAAAGCACAAGGTATCGTGGAGAGCCATGATCGTTAACTTCCTGAAGGGCCAAGGCACATACAAGAAGGAAAAAGAATGAAAATTGTGTAATGCGTGTAGAAAAGAAAAATATAATGTGAAATATGTGAGAAAAATTTCTCTCATAATGGTAACTTACTTAATAAACCACATAATAACCTACACAGGAGAAACACCCTTTCATTGTGTAGTATGTGGGAAGGTTTTTTCATTAAAAAAAATCTGATTTAGCAATACACGTGAGAATACACATAGGCGAGAAGCATTTCTTCTGTCAGGTGTGTGGAAAAGCTTTCTCTCGAAATATAGAAACAGTCAAATATGGGCGATGCATATTAATGTAGATTCATTGCATATCTAAGAATATTATGATTTGTTTTAATTTAGAGCAAACGCACCGACATACTCACAC